TATAATATATATATTTAATTTTTCTTAAATAAGTTTGTTTATGTTAATGTTTATAGTTAATTTTTATTTAAAATTCTTCTATCTTATTTTATATTTGTCTATAAATAAAAGATTAATTTGATGAAAATAAAAATAATAATAAATTGATTTATTTTATTTATAATTGATTAACAAAATAAACAGAAAAACTTTTCAATTATGTTTTTCATCTATTTACAAAAGAATTTTCAAATTTTATTTAAAATTAATTTAATGAAAAATAAAAACGATAATTTATTCTAAAATATTCTTGAGTTTGTTTTTTTCAAATAAATAATTCTTATTTAATAAAACTTACTCAATTAATCAATTATAATCTATCATTATAATGATTAATATAGGAAAAAATATTTAATCAAATCAATTATATTTTACCATCAACACCCAAAAATAACTAATCTTTAGATTTATTTCAATGAATATTTATCTATTTATTTTATTGTAATATGTTATACTTAATATCATTATTGATAAAAATCTTGAGAAATCTTATTTCAATTATTGATTATATATTAATTATTTTAATTTAGTATAAATAAGAGAGTTTATCAGAAAGACAAACATTTCGATGGTGACGAATAATAAAATAGAAAATAATTTAAAAATTAACTATAAACATTAACATAAACAAACTTATTTAAGAAAAATTAAATATATATATTATAGAAAATAAATCATCATCATATATAGAATTTATAAAACAAAAAAACTAAGAATTTTCTATTTAAAAATTAATATTATTATCATTGAAATAAAAATATAAATATTTCAATGATTTTATAATAGAAATGAAAATATTCTTCTTATTATTCTCATAATAATAAGATAAGAAACTTTCCGTTAAAATAAATAAATAATTTTCATAGAAAATAATAGATCATTTGGTCATAGTTTATTTGTTCAAAATCTTCTCGATATATTTCATGTTTAACTATAATATTCATTAAAAAGTTATTTTATCTTTTAATATAAAGAGTATGTTGTAGATGATGATATTCAACAATTTTATTTTAATTTAAATAATTATCAAGAAAAAAAAGTCTTCGTAACTTGCAGTCTTAATCAATAGAAATAAATATATAAATCTACCCGGAAAATATATTACATATTCATAATTATTTTCAGATATAGATATAGGAAAATAAGTTATATAAACCTTTATATGTTTAACAAAGGTCATTAGACTTTTTCTTATATGATTTAGCTTTTTAAATATTCAAATATTTATTAAATATATTATAAAAACTCACTCATTATTGATAAAATATATTGTTTTTTTCAAGTCATAATAATAGATTCGATTTATATTGATGATAATTCATATATTCATTGTTTATTCTAAAAATAATTCAAAAATTTTTTTTTGTTTTTTTTTTTAGTATCTATTATATGTCCAAGAACAAGTTTCTCATCATAGAAGAGCAGAAACTATTCTTAGTCATATATGAAAAAAGAAACAGCAAGAAGAAGAAGAAGATGAAGATGAAGATGAAGATGAAGAAAAATAAAACGACAATAACGAATACTCCTGACAATGACAAGTACATTCAATAAATGTCCTATATGAAAAATATAAACGATAGAAACGACCTTCATATTGAATAATAAACAATGATTTTCTTATTTTTTTTTCATTAAAAAAATTCAATAGATTATACACATTTTATTTTTATAGAAATTAAAAATATTAATTAAACAATTAATATTTAACTATAATTATAATTATATTTTTATCCTTAGCTTATATAATAAATAAAATAACTTATAATATTTTATGATAAAATGTACTTACTTAGTATCTTTTTTGTTCGATAAATACCGATAAATGCACTTTATGTTAAAAGAATATGAAAGATGACAGGAAACAAGGTTACATTTTCATTTGTCGGTTTTTTTGTTTATCTTTATCAAAATGCAAACCTATTTCCTCTTTCCTTCTATAGAGTATTTAACTGTATCAGTTAGCAATAGCCCTATGATAACGTCAATATGAAGATATTTAGACATATGGATCTCTATAGAACGAACAGACATACTTTTTTATTTAATGATGTTATATATTTATATAAAGAAAATGAGAAGTGCATTCGACATTTGACACATCCTATAAGAATCATTCTTTTTTCACTTTTACATTTCTTTACAAAAATATGCGCAAAGAAAATATTTATCTCACGTAAAAAGAGGTGAATATATATATATATATATATATATATATATGTGTGTTAGTATGCTATTGGTGGTAGTTTTTTTTTTTTTTTTTGTGAGTAGATCGCAAAAATATGATAAAGTCAATTAGATGAACATAGTGTTGTTCTCTTTTTCTTCAAATGATTGTTGTCAAAAGCGCGGTTATTTTCTTGAGAATAAGAAAAGAGAATATGAGTCTCCATATGGGTTCAACCATATGATAGTAGAAAATAAGGTGAAGAAAACAAAAAAGAGAAGTGCATATCTACATTAGCCAAAGGCTCATTGGGTATCGAAGAGGAGAGAAGAGAGTTGTTTTTCATCATAACAATAAACTATGAACATAACATTTAACCATTCATTGAATAGAATTACTCAATTGCCTAAAGGATCAACAATTTTTGTTTCTATTCTATTTATAAAAAAAAAAAAAAAAAATTTTTGTGAATAATTTTTATTTATATTTTCTTTTTATTCCATTTGTATATAAAATGAGAACAAGGACAAATCTATAAGTATTCATCTATTTGTTTACATAAATCTATATTTGTGACATGTCTATTTTGTTGATAATAGAAACGATGAGATCTAGCAAATCATATCATATTATTTATTTCTATCGGTCAATTATGAAAACAGAAAATGTCATTTGATGTATCACTGAAACTACATAAATCTCAATGATAATTTGCACATGTACATACAAAAAAGAAAAAAGAAAAAAAAAAGAAAAGAAAAGAAATGATCTTTTACTTGTTGTTGTTGTTGTTGTTTTATTTTAATAAAACATTTGTTATTTTTATAGATCGAATTAAGAATGAAGAGAAATAATGAATAGATTTTATTCGACTTTTTTTTATCTTTAATAATAAAAAATCTCGATGACATTTATTTTGTGCTTGATGACTTCATCTTTCAATTAGCGATAAGACTTTTCTTTAGGCCATCTATAAATATTTTTTTCCAGTACTTTAAAAGAAAAATTTTTCTATGATTTTAATATTAAATAATAATAATAATAATAATAATTATTATTATTATTATATATGAAGAAATAGTTTTATATTATTAATATTAAATGAATATTTATGAAATAAAATTCTTTTTGACCTGAATTTGACCTCAACTAAATTATTCTTTGTCTTCAATTAAACAATGTAGACTTTATTCTCGTCAAAAAATATATATTCAATTTCCAACAAAGACAAACATCTCATTTCCTCTATTCTACACTAATAATTAGTTGAAAGTTTTTTTTTTTTTTTTTTTTTTTTTTTTTTTTTTTTTTTTCTTGTTCTTTAAGTAACCAAAAAAGTTTAAATCAATGAGTAAAAATAAATGGAAATGGAAATGGAAATTTAAAATGTAATGAGACAAAACTATATTTAACAAACTCTTTCTTTTAATAATTATTGAAAAAAGAAATAAAATAAATGATATTTATATTCGTTTGAATAGTGTTCTAGTTTGAAAAAGAAAATCTTTGTAATATAATCTAATTAAATAAAAAAAATCTTAATTTATTAATCAATGATTAAAATCAAATTTCTAATATTATTGATAAAAAAATTTTATTATTTGTTATTCGCGTCAAATATTCTCTAATAAAAGTAAATATTCAATAAAAAACAAAAAACTTCTACGTAGAATTCTCGGAAAATCCTGATAGAATTTTTCTTGTAAAAACTCACCATGAGCCACATTTTTCACAATGACAGCATAAACTTTAGTTTTTTTTACATACATTTGACTTTAACGATAGAAAAAAAAAGTGTTGGTTGTTGTCATCATCGTCGTCGTCGTCGTCATCGTCATCGTCATCGTCTCGTTTTGTAATAGTGATGTTATATTGTATTGTAGCACACATTCGAACGGCCATAGAGTACACATACACATACACCAAGGCAAATCTTTTTTAATAATGCATAAAGTTTAATTTGTATTATTCATAGAAAGAGAGAGAGAGAGAGAAAGAAAAGTAAATATCTAACATTACTATAGACATATGCCATAGAACTGTTCGAAATACTTCATACATCAATAAGACTTGATATGAGACATAAGATCGTGTTCAATCTTCTTTTGTATTTTTGTTTTTATAGATTAAATATGTTAAATAAATGATAAAAAGAAATTTGACAAAGCAAATCTAATATTAAAGTGTTCATAGGATCATTAAGAAATAAAAGTACATTATTAAGATTTTTATGTAAAATAGTAGAAAAAAAAATATT